TCATCTGTACGCGTTGCGTTTCGGGTCCGCTAGGGTGATTCGAGACGGGTCTGTCAAATATACACTGAAAAAATTGGATATATTGCTAACTTAGTTTTTTCTAAGTTGTTCTCATGACTCTCCTAAAATTTTGGAAGGGATTCAAGTCCTACTAGAGATGGCAATGGGTCGATCCGAGTCGGCTTGGCCTTTAAACACATGAGTTCAGCTCGTGACGGCTCGGTTCGGCCCTTAAACATATGAGCTCGTGGGTCGAGCCGAGCCCACGAGCCGCCCTCGAGCTCAACGATCTGAGCCTCGGTTCGTTGGATTCGACCCTTGCTCAGTTCGTGCTCAAGCTCATCGTTTGACGAGCCTGAGCCGCCCACGAGTTGAGCTTTAACAAGTTGATTGGCCCGTTTGACATTCCTAAGTCCTAATTGCATCACATCTAAAATTTGGGGGTCCAGATCATGTGCTAAAAGAGTAGGCAAAAAAGTTGGAGAAAAATTGGATCTCTTTAATGGCATTTGTTTTTGAGATTGTTAAGCTTGTTTCTATTGAAACAATCTCTTGATTGTATATAGGGGATTTTGTAATATTGTCTTGATCCGAAATTGTTTATTGAACAAGATCTGGACCAAAAATTTGTCCCTAGTCCTGATCATTATTAATTGCAACGGAAATGATATATACTTATCTTTCTTCAAAGATAAAATCCATTACCTTAAAATCTTATCTCTCTTTGCAAACTCTACATCTTTAAAGAAACAAGCATCTCCTGTTTCAAAAATTGACCAATTGGATGTTTAAAGTTTTGTAACCCCTTAATAGTTGCTTTACTTGGAACTTTGTTGAGGATTTAAGCTGCGATTTTTTTTTAGTGCTCTTTCCTACTGAGATTTTGATAAGGTAAAATGGTGTTCTGTTTAGTCTTTCAGTAACACCTTCATGCTATTGTGGAATGATTCCACATTCCTCTATGAATTTTAGCAAAAGGCCCTAGACATTGTTCTCCCAATCCGTCATATCTGCCATAGTATTCACCCTCACGACCATAATGAAGTGTTTTATTCTTTTGTTGAGTTAATTTTCAAACGCAGTATTATAATCCTTGAACATGTCCAGTGATTAAAATTTCTCATGAATGAGATACATGTAGTGATAACGAGAAAAATTGTCCATGAACGTAATAAATGACCTTTGACCATTCTAAAAAGCCGTAGGGAATGTCCTATAGATATCCATGTAAATTTGTTTTCTAAGACCTTCGAAGTTCTATTAACTCCTAATCTCTTTATATTTATTTGTTTTCCCTTAATGTAATTAATATAAATAGTTAAGTCTAAAAATATTAAGGGGATCAAGAATTCCTTTCGACACGAAATTTCCTTTTTTTCGAGAGATATGTCCTAATTGCTTGTATCAAAATGAAGCAAAATTCTCATTGGTTAATTTATGTTTAATATTACGTGAATTCATACGTAAGGTATTTTTTAAGAGGCAAATGTATTAAGCAGATATAGGTTATTATAACCAGATAAAGAATTGGTACCCACAATATTTTAATTAAGAAAAAGACATAACTGACTATTTTCAATTGAACAAAAGTAATCTAATTTGTTCAATGTAGAAATAGAAACAAAATTTCATCCAAAAGGACAATACCGCAAATGTCTCTCTCAAATCCAAATAATAACAGTCTTTAATAATAACATAAAAGTTCGTATACTCTCAACTTTAACTAATATGCCAAGTCCCTCATAGATAAATCTTTCAGCATCAATTGACTTTAAGCTATTTAAGCAACCCCGTATAGACATTCTTACTTGAATAATAACATCAAAATTTATCTACAAAGTGTGTTTAGGTATTGAAACTAAATTAACGACAAAAATGAGAAAAATACTTGATTTTACACCCCAAATGTGGTATTTAGTACAATCTCTCTTCATATGTCCCATATTTTCATAAAAGTAACAATTAGATGATTTATCATTTCTGACTTTTATTGTACTTTTAAACTGAACCAGATGTATCTTTCTTATTTTTTTAACTTGTCTTTAGAAGTACTATCAAGTGAGTACTTCTAATTCTCTCTTTCTTTAGACTTCTTCTTGCACACAATATGAAATGAGCTCATTAAGAGTCATATTCCCTTTTCGATACCTATAATTGACCTTAAATTAATCGAATTGTGTAGGAAAAGAAATCAAAACCATATGCATGAATAAGTCATCAGGCAATTCAAACTTTAATGCCGTTGATTTTGAAGCAAGATGAGATACATTCATGATATACTCTCGTACATTTTCTTTAGCCTGATACCTTAATGAAACCAAGTTTGCCAAAAGTGTATTAGTTTCAACTTTATCGCTTTTTGCAAAGCATTTTGGAATATTTTCTTTAAGAATTTCTTGACAGTTACGTTATTGGATACATTGCTCTTGAATGTTGCGAGAATTTTACTCTTTATGTTCATAAGACTTATGTAGTTTGAACGATCTCACTTATTCAAGTCGAACTCTTATCTATAGGAATAATGAATTGTTCAGTCCTTAACGTAAAGAACTATACAAATGTTCTCTTTTTAGCCCTTAAACTTTCGTTCAAGCATAGAATTTGAATTAATGTTGATGGATATTAGAAAAAAAGATGGAGTAGAGAACTTAAACCTAAATAGCATGTTCACATGGAAATTCATAGTGGACATTCAATAATTTCAAAAAATTGTAGCCCCATCACAAGAGATAGAACATAACATTAATATTTAGTTTTTGGACAGAAACATCAACTTGTAAGGACAGACGGACCCACATGGGGTCATGTGGGGTCAAATGACCCCACAAATTTTGGATTTTTTTTTTTAGAAAATAATTGTTTTAACCGTTTTATGATCTACTTTAATACATGTCAAATGAAGTCAAAACATTGCATTCTTAATATCATTTTGAAGTACTCATAACCTAGTTTTTCACTTCTTAATGGCGTGCGAAATGATCAACCATAACAAAAGTTATGATGTATCAAAATGAGCCGCTCCAAATTAGTATTTTGAAAAGTTCGATAATATGCTAACTTTTAAAATTTGCCGGTGATCGTATATTATCCGAATCCACAAATTGCCTATGTCATCTAGAAGCTTGTTTCGAGAACTAGATCGTAGTCATATCGAATGGTCTAAATAGATATTGAAAATAGTTAAACATGTGTCAAACATATATACTAGAAAAGACGTTTAACTCGTTTTTTCTTTTAAAAAAATTCAATATTTCATTAATGTTTATTATTTTTGTGTGATAAATTTTTCAATATAATTTACATCATTTTATTAGGAAATTTTACATGGAAGATGACGTCAAAAATTCTAAAATCGTTACGGATTACATGTAATTTGAATTACTTTCAAATTATTTTTTTGTTAAAATTAAATTTCATTTACTTCATAAATTAAATGTGAATTTTATTTCAATTGGTTTACTTCCTACATCCAATTTGATTTATTCGCCATTAACTCAATATCTAAAAATGACATGGTAAACAAAATTATACATGTAGCAAAATTCATTTAACACTATTGATAATGATATAATTATAAGACATTTTTCAAGGTGTCAAAATGCGTATTAACTTATTTTCATTAATATTATATTATTTTGAAAAATTATACATTAATTTTTGACCCCACAACCTAGAAAGGCTAGGTCTGTCCCTACTTGTAAGTAGTGCTCATAGTGGAGTAATCAAATATTGACAATAAATTCGATAAAAAAAAAAATCAAGTCTATCTTTGGATCGACTCAATGTTCACATAATGAAAAGCTTTACAATTGTCACATATTTATTACCATGGGGATGCAAACAATTCAACAAACTATTGACCTTCCTTTAAGCCAATGAATATCTGCATAAATTACGTTCACACAACATTTCTAATATTCCAAATAAATCAACTTATGGAAGAGATGTTGCTTTGGTAACATGTCGCTTCAACAAATCTATTTTAGAAAATTAGTAATCTGAAGTAAATATTAAACACTAAAATTTGAAATTAATTGTCCCTTGATATTTTTTATTTTTATTTTTATCTTTTGTGGCTAAAAGAAAAATAAATAAGTAAATAAGGTTGAACAGAAACCAACGTTGCAGCATCCGCGCCTGGCCTGCACCTTGACTCTGCAGTGCTACAGTGACTAGTCGAGTTGCCTCGATGCCACGGTTGCCGCTTTGAACTAGAATTTTCAAAAAATTTGAATTTTTGAATTTTGGGATTTCAATTCATATCTAAAATGGAAAATCCAAATTATAAATTCCAACCCTAAAATTCTTTCTTGAAGAATTCTGAATTTCAAAATTTGTGGTCAAAATCCATATTCCAAATTAAAAGATTTCAAAACTTATTATATGAATTTCAATGAAAAAATTCTTCCTTTAATTCCAACGGTTTAACGTGGAGTCGGTTTTGATACCACTTGTTGAAAATTTTATAAAACTATAAACTTTAAACCCTAAATTCTTTTATTGCCAAGATCCTCCATGTCAAATAACCAAGAAAATTAATAATACGGAACATACCTTAATTCTTTGGGAATGATTCTTTGTTACTAGATCTTGATTATGGATCTTGAAACTTGAATTGTAATCTCTTCATCTTTGGATTCTTCACTTTTGATCTTGAATGTTGCTTTCTTTGATTATTTAATTCTTGTTCTTGGTTTTGCTTCTTGATTCATAGTCTTGATTCTTGAATTCTTTCTTCTTGATTCTTGATTGTAGGTATCGAATCTTCCTCGTCAATATGTTTCTCTTGTATTTTTGTATTGATGGGATAACACAAAGAATAAGAAGTTGCATATGAATTGAGGACCCCTCCTATATATAGTTTTCATATGTATTTCATCTATCATGAAATTCAATTTTAAAGGAATCTGATTTCTACACATATAATTTGACCTATATTTTATTTAGATGTCCTAAACCCAACAATTTAATTTTTTATTAGATCACTTTAATTTTGGGTCTAACTTTAAGATGGCCTTTTTATACACAAAATTAATTGTATATGTATGCCCACAGACAAATTAAATCCCAACACAAGTGACCCTGGTCAATCCATAGACATAACAACATTTGGATGACAAACTGAAATAAAACTAAATAGACAAAGAATATCAGATCAGTCCAGTAGGTTCTCACACAACATTGCATAGAACTAACATAGAAAATAAGACATTAAACGAGCCTATGATCATTTATGAAGATCTTTGCTGTCCAGTCTTCTTTAATTTCCGAACTTGATTAACTTGCTGGTAGAACTCTTAGCGGACAATGGAACAGAAGTCACAGGCCCTTTATTAAATCAGCTGTTGACAAAATTAAAAAGAAAATAAAACAAAAATAATTAGCAGCATCAGTCTGGTCCTGTTTATAGTATCAAAGAAATATTGTTACATCAAAGGGGTGAATGTTATGGATTAAAGTCTAATCCATCAAGAATGCAGTAAAACATAATAGAATAAAAAATAAACAAAGTTAACCTACGAATTTATAGAAGTTCTCGTGAGGGCTACTTCCGTTTTCGAATATGTTATTTCACTATAAAGAATACCAAGGTTTTCTTACACCTCTCACATGAGAAAAGACCCCCAAGAAATTCCTTTTACTAGGAATACTAGGGTGGTCTAATATAATCGTGAATAAAAATGCTTGTTAGGAGTCAAACTGTAGTGCATTTGAAAATCAACAATGCAAATATTCACAAATAATAAATTGAAGTTCTTGTAGTTATAACAAGAATGAAGAAAGTAGTACTGATGTGCGAGATTCTTACACTAATTGAAGAGGTGATTGATCTTGCTGAGGATAGTTTTCATTTGGTTGCAGAGCGTTAACTTGAAGGTAGTTTCGCTCATCAAATGGCTGAGGTTGAACAAGCTCATAGTCAGAACTCCCTGGCATCAAACTCATGTGCTGCTGGGCTCTCTCAGTTTCAGCTATCTACGAAATTACACAGATCTATGTTATTGCTGATGATCCATTTACAGCCGTGCACAAACTCCACAGAGAGAGAGAGAGAGAGAGAGAGAGAGAGAGAGAGAGAGAGAGAGCTAGCTTTACCTTTGCTCGAAGGTACTGATTGTTATGGTGTAAGTCGATCTCCTGCTGTCAAATCATTTTTCCACGAAGAAAGAAAATAATGAGGAAGATGGTATTTGAAATAAAAATATGTTTACAACAGAATCAATCTTCTCTTGGCCAGCTACATATGAAAATACTAATGCAAGCTTGAGTTTCCCTTTCGTTTATAGAAATGAATACTTGAAGCAGACTTTGGAAACATTCTTCAATATAGAATGAAAATAAAAAAGATGGTTATTTGCCGTAATACACAAACAGATTACTACTGGGAATTTCAAATTAATGTGGTCAATTTACAATCTTAAGACGTAGGCATATAGCTGAAAGAATCGACTTCAGCAGCAAACATTTATTGTCTGTTTGATTTCAAAACCATGTTACACCAATAAATGAAGTCTGCATTGTACAGTTAATTAATTATCTAAGTGAAGAATTATATTTGGAAACAATGCCAAGAGTGGCTTGTAATTCTTTAATTGCTGTGATATGCATCTTCACAGAGAACGAAAATCACATCTTGGTACAAAAGAGAGCATTATCTATCTGCATATTGTAACCTATAGATGTATGAAAGTATGTTTTACACGTTTATTCATGCTTGTAAACTTCGTAACTATTTGAAAATTGAGTGGAGTTCTACTTAATTTAGTGTAAATATTGCTATAGCAGAAAAAACCACGGTTTGGAGGCATTTGGAGTAAACATGACAATTTTTGAGCTAAATTGGAGTAGGTTCGTGGGATTTATAAGAAGCATTAAGGGATCAATATGAGGGAAGTTACAAGTTTTGGGAAAGAAATTCAACATTGAAAAGTTTATGGACAGATTTGTATACTCTGGAGGTTTGGGGACCGACATGAAAGATTTTGTAAGTTTCACGATCAATATTGAAGGTTTGAATAAAAAGGACCTAAAAGCGGGCCAAAAAGTTGAAATAAGGACCGAGGCACAATAATCCAAGTGTAGGGAAAAGAAATTCAGAGTTGCTGAAACTGCAGGTTTCATAATCGAGGAGATTCTTTAGTGACTTATAGGTTGGGTGATCAGAGTTTACTAAGGTTTAGTTATATCTGGACAAACTGTAAGTTATATTTTTTAGTTGATCTTTTCGAAAAGGTTTACCCGTACATTTTTTATCCTTGTGATGAGTTCTTCATTGGGTTTTCATTTGTTACCAAATTTGGTGTCATTTACTATTATGCTTTTGATCTATATTGCATGATTGACACCTATGGTTTAATTGGACATTAAACTTAATCTTATAGAAAAAATAAATTAGTGACTTGTTATTTTTTATTGATTCCGTATTATACATCTCTAAGTATTGTTGAGTCTAAATGCCGTTTGATTATATTTTTCAATTGGTATCAAAGCTTAATTCAATGACCCAATTTTGTCTAAATGGGTCAATTACTTTTCATTCCTTCTTATTTTGACAGTCGTAATTATGCTTATTGGAAGACTAGAATAAGAGACTTTACAAGGTCAATGGATGAACATGTTTTGATTAGTATATAAAAGGTTTGGACCGTTCCATCTACATTTGTTGCTAGTGTTGTACACCAATAGATATCTTTACTTGGACAAAAGATGATTTAGGTGAGTTCAATTGAAATAGTAGAGGTGTTCATGCCATTATCACTATTTTCCTTGAGGAGTTTAAGCGTATTTTAATGTGTGAGACTGCGAAAGAAGCTTGAAATATTTTAGAAACTACATGTGAGGGAACCATGACCATTAAAAACTCTAAATTATGAATATTGACTACTTGGCTAGAAGAAATATGATGAGAAATCCTTCGATGAGTTATGTGCAAAACTGAATGATATTGTGAATTCTAGTTTTAACATAGGTAAATGAATCCCCGAGGCTAAGATTGTGAGAAAAGTGATGAGATCCCCACCTAAGAGATTTAGACCTAAGGTCATAGCTATTGAGGAAAGTAAAGACCTAGATGCTATTAAGATAGAAAACTTGTAGTGTCTTCTCAAACATATGAATTTAGCTTATTCCAGTCTCAGAAAAATAAGTCTTCAGTCCTAAATACTGTTAAGGAAAAAACTAGTAATCAAATTGATGATGGCACCCTAAACTATGAGAAGTTTGCCTATCTTGCTATGAAATTTAAGAATTTTTTTTAGGAATAATAAGAGACTTTCTGATAAGTTTAAAGGTGACTCTAGTGAAAACATGAACTATAAAAATGGGAGAATTACTACAGATTCTTAGAAGAGGTTTCAATTTGTGAGACGCCATGAATGCCAGAGTTTTGGATATGTTAAATCCGATCGTCAAAGTTATTAACAACATATTAGGTTTGAATAAATCAACTAGGAATAGGAGAGATTTAGGCTGTAATAAAACAAATTCTCATACTTCTTCGTCTTCTAAAAACAAGTTTGTACATGCCTCAATCAAATTTATGAATGTAAGAACCCTAGGACAACAATCATCCGCTTAACATAGATTTCATCAACTTAAGGTTTAAAATTTGAGACCTAGAGTTACTCCAAGGGTTTATTCCCACCTGTCACAATTGTTGTGAGTTAAGTCACATTAGATCTAGATGTCGTAAACCCTTGGTTAGGAAAAAAAAAAATAAGATCTCACTATTCAAGTTAGATTCTTGACAAATATGATAAGTTATTCGACTAAGATTACATCTTCTTCTAAGAAAATTTGGGTAAAAAAGTGTGAACTCTACAGTCAAAGTGATGATGTAAATTGTGGTATTTCTCGTGTTGCTCTTAAAGGTAAGAGCACTTATATTTCTCATTTATTAGGTCTTTAGGTGCATGCATTTGCATTGTTCATGATATTTATGTATACAAGCATTCATTCTTAAATTTTCTTATCTTAGATAAATTTTCTTAGCTTATATAAATTCACTAATATAAGATTTTGAGTCTTGCTTGTTGGAGATAAATGGTACTTTTCACACGTATGTTGCATATAGAATTTACTCCATATATGTTTAAAAATAAGTTATGGGAGAAAAGTTCATTGTTTATAAATTTTGGTTATTAAAATAATCCAATAAATGTGATTTCATTTATCATTACTTGATTTTATATTTATAAACTCATGAAAGAGTTGTCTCGACAAGAAATTTTTTTTATTCTCCCATTACATGTGTTGCATAATTTTGCATTGTTTTTCACTTATTCATCGTTTTGTTATTCATGATAAAAAGGGGGAGAGATAAGTACTTGAGAGTTGAGTATACGAGTTACGGAGAGAAGTTAATACATTGTTTTATTTTTGATATTTTTGTTAGATTCAAATTATAATTGGCTAGCTCCATATTCAAAATCATAGTTATTGAGTTGTAGTAATATTCAAAAGAGTCGGGGTTGGTATATAGGTTTTAAAGGAGTCAAAGATGGACCAATGAGAAGAAATTGCTGCAAAATCACTCAACAACTGTGCAAGAGACACTCTAGAGGAAAAAGTAGGAGCTTGGTTGTTTGCTAACCGCGAGAGGGGCGATTGAGCGATCGAGTTATCCGAGCAGATTTCTGTTCACAATTTTTACAATTTTTTTCAATCCCATTCAACCTCAAGCACTTGATATTATAAATACCCCAAGCATAGTCCATCCCATGATGTTTGGTGATCAATATTTCATATAAAAAAACATCCTACAGAGATCAATAATATATTTCATAATTCTCTTGATTCAACCACAATATCAAAACATAAAAGATCAAGCACAAAAAAAAAAAAAAAAAAAAACAAAAAAAAAAAAAAAAAATAATAATAATAATAATAATAAATAAAAAATTTACCGTTACCAATAAGCCTTAAAAGTTCTGAAATTGGGAAGAGACAGCTAGAGTTATAATTGTTCCGGAACGAGTTCGTTCTTGGTGATCTATACGTAGGGAAAAGAGTTCCAGAGTTGCTGAAAAGTGCAAGTTTTACAATTCAAAAGGTTTTTGGATAATTCATAGGTTAAGTGGTCAGAGTTTACTAAGGTTTAGTTGTGTCTCAACTAATTATAAGTTATCTTTTTCGGTGGATCTTTTTTGCAAGGTTCCCCATAGCTTTTCAAGTGATTTTCCTTCATTATCAAATTTGGTGTTATTTAATTTTATACTTTTGATCGACATTGCATGATTGACTCTTAGGGTTAAATTGGACATTACACTTAATCATCTAAAAATAATAAATAAGTGACTTGTTGGTTTTTATTGAATCCGTGTTATACACCTCTATGTGTTGTTGGATCTAAATGCCGTTCGATTATATTTTTTCATCGGTGATTGGATGTTTTTAAGGCTTAACCAGATTTACATATAGACATATTTAGTTGACTTAATTGAGTAGAACTAGTGTGAACTCAAGAATGGTAAATCAATTAAAATTGAAGAATTTGCTCGGAACACATAATTGATTGTTGTTAGAATTTGATGGTCTCAATTAAGAAGATATCTATAGTGAACTCATGAATCTAATGCACAAATAATATCCTAAATTTTCTATTTGCACTTTTAATTAGTTCCATAGTAATATTTAAGAACATAATTAATCACTTTTAATTGTGTTTTACTCAAATGAATAGGCATATTCAAACCAATCGATACATAAATAGTTCCATTAAGAAAGATAATCTAGTCTTTTTAGATCCACTTTACTACTTGTTTAACTGATAACACACACTTGTCATTACACAACATCTCCATAGAATTATCTTAAGTTCTCGCACATATATAACTTCACAACATGCTTAGTGTGTGTGACTAGCCATGATTAGGAGTACAGATACCTAAATATTTATTCTTGGTCTACTTATCAATATGTGACCTTTGATAAATGCTTGGTACAAATTTGACATATTTTAACATTTCGTGGAAAAAACTAGCCTTAATTAAACGGAGAAATATATATATAACATGCAGGAAATAATAATTTCTTACCCTTTTTTGCATGTACTCAATTTCAGCAAATAGCAGTTCATTCTGAGATTCATAAAAAATAAGACAAGTTAAGCAAAGAACTCTGAACTTCTCAAAGTAATGTCATTCATATACATAATTTATTGACAAGAATACAAGAACATAAACTATTAATTGGCACCTTTTTGGTACGGATTCTGCTAATGCCTCTTTCGACCTTAGTCTCGAGGTTCTTGAGATCTCTGAGGGACAGTGCCCCGAGTGATTCACCAAGCATGTTCCTAAATCAAAAGAGCCAGCCAAATGTTATATAGTGTAATTATTGCACCAGATAAGATAAGATAAACCAGCAAAATAAAAATCACCTGTTTTGATTCTGCAAATTAGTGATATGTGATCGCAGTTTTGATGCTTCTTGCTCGTAGAACTGCAATGGTTCACGAATAAAGTTTAGAATTCGGGGTTCGTAATGTATTAAATTATGCATTTCCATTTCCCTGATGTAAACTCTAGTAACTATCATCTGATACTTGTAATGTTGAACCATTGATCCCCACAATATTTGTTGAAAAACACATTTTGAAGTTGTGAAGAACAACTGTGCTACACATCCAGGATGAAAAATAGGGATGACACATGTCGTCCCGTGATTGAACAGTTTGAAAAAATTAAAACAAAAAACACTCAACCATTTGCCATCACCTCAGTGTGTCTCCTCCTTCCCTATTTTTAACCTTGGCTAACTGGCTTTATTTTGTGACGAAAGGGAAAAGTTAAATTTGAAAGTGTACCTGAGCATTAGCTTCAGATACTGATCCATTGTTTGAGGAATCTGAACAGGTTTTCTTGTACCTTTCAATGGTTGCTTTGACACTGCACAATTTACATTTAGTCAGTCTTCAGATGTCAAAAATTTGTTCATTCATATACCTATATATAGTACTCTATACATCATAGGTAAATTCAAGTTGTAGAGGGTAATGAGCAAATATCCATAATCTTAAATATGTAATTTAATAAAAGATAAGAATTCCATTAATTCTCTATCAATGGAATTGTAGCCAATTAGTTTTGGAATAGGGATAAAATGTTAAACTCATCATGAAAATCTAGGTTAGGTTGAATATTAGTACTATCCTTAAGGGGTTGTTTGACAAATCTTTAGATAAAAATTTTAACAGATTTTTATAAAAGTTGATGAAGTTTGTAGTTAAAAAGTAAATAAAAGCTATGGATTTTATGAAATATGTGACTAAAATTAAATATTAACTTTGACCACAGTTTTTTTAACATCTTTTAAGGTTTTCCAAACAAGTACTAAGGGTCTGTTTGGCATGACTTTTAGTTTTGCTTTTATTTTCTGTAGAAGAGCTTTTGAATGAAATTATTTTAACTTTTGTTTGAAAACTAATTTTCAAAAGAATTTTCTATTTCGAAAGCATTTTTAAAGGAATCCACAGTTTGAACCTGCTTCCTCTAAAATATGTTCTAATAGGAAAAAGCATTTTCAAAAAATTAGACAAACGAACCCAAAAACAACTTTTGAGTTTCAAAAACTTCTTTTGACTTTTCAAAAGTTATGTCAAAAATGCCTGTAGTATATTTGATTAATGATTTCTTAAACACTTTTCTCTGGTTTTTATTTTATTTTATTTTTTATTTATTTTTTATAAAGATGCGTATGCAAAACAATGAACATAAAGTGAATATGGGAATCTCATTCTATCAACTCAACTTGTCCCATGACATGAACCCAACACAGAGGAGACACCCGGATTCCTCAGTAAACTGCTACCTTAATTTTGTCGAGCTACTGATTGGCTGTCCTTGCCAAGCAGGCATAAATCCCTTTCTATGATTGGCTCATTTTTTAGGGTTATTTAATCTTAACTTCATTTACACTATGGATAATACTCTTTTAACCCTAGGTTACATGCCAGAATCGAGTCTTGTCCATCAGAAATTCTGAGAAAATCAGAACCGTCCATTTGAAGCAGCCATTCCCATGCATCAGCCAGAAAAACAAAACAGAGATCAGACATTCAGAAACTCCCCATTGGTTGCCAGCTTCCGTGCATTTGTATCTGCAGTCTGACTTGCCCCACCACGCCCCACCCCACCTATTGGTACCTCGTATTGGTTGGCCATTCTCTTTCACTTCTGTTCCATTGCTGTTTTAGTTTCACCGATCTCAGAAGCTTAGCAAAAGCTTCCAACTGAGATAACCTAAAGAAATATGGGTCTATTTTTCACCATTCCAGAGAGAAATCAAGAAAATTTATGGGCATGATGACCCATCACTTCCTTTCTTGTCAGAAGTGAAGAACAAGAAAAATCGAGTGTAATATGACTAAAGATTCTTGATCTGGGTCAATTCTACATATATCTAAGTTCAATTCTAACTGAACAAGAACACCCATGTTTTCAATCTTCCCTAAATGAAAGGGGGGGAAAAAGAAATAAAGAAACCCCAGATCCTGAATCCGTAAAAGAGTTTGAAAAATTTACAAGTATGTGCCTTATGTACAAACCGTGCTACTTTAACTAGGTTTTGATTGGTTGTGACAGATTCAAAGCTCAGAAAGCTGTGGATCTACACATAATAGAAACCATAATTAGAGACGAATCTTGCTACATGTACATCCTGACATAAGGGATTACATATTGCTATATGCTTTTCTATTTGCTAGTTTAAAAGAATCAACTTTTTCATTCAATCTTTCTTCTCTACATCATTTTCGATAACCATTTATGTATCATTTTGACACGCAAGTAGCAAAACCTTAGCAGACAGATCTAGAAGTTTGCTTTTTCAATTTTTTTGCCAGTGTGATTTGAAGAAAGTAAACCCTAATTAGGTTAATATTTAAATTTATTTAGAACTGCACGTGTGGTAAAGGAAGTATCTTGTGAAACCCTAATTTTGATTGGTTGGGAAACCCTGATTAAGCATCTTTTTTCAGAGCCCATTTATTCACTTTGGTGATGCAAAATCTGCTGGCTATGGACAAATGAGAGCTTGATGGATTTCTTGCCAGGAGAGAGAAAGGAAGAGAGATGGAGAAGAAAATTTAACAATATAGCAAGAACTGAAGAGATGTTCAACATACAAATAATTTCCTCTTATTTTGCAAGAGATCTATGCATTTTACAAGAGATGGACTAAATGGGATCAAGAAAACTGAAACCCCATAAAGCACAGTGAAGCAAAAACAAAAATTGGAAAAATTGGAAAGACAAATGAATCTTTGTCAAGAAAACTTAAATCTTCACTGTACAAGAAATTATTGTGTCCTTGTGTTCAAATCTTCCCAACAATTCTAGAGTAAGTAATTAACTTAAACAAAAACTATGAAACTAAAATTTGTCCCCCTTTTTAGGGCAAAAGAAATCAAGGAAAAAAAAAGTGTTTTAGATTCTTTTCTTACTGAAATACAAGAACATAAAAGAAAGTCTTTTAGAGGATTAACAAAGAACAAAAACAGCCCCAGATCCTCAAGAAACATTGAACTAGTCCCTTTCAAATGATTATTTAGGCAGATTAACGAGTCTATTTATATAAATTCACCTGTTGTTGGCATACTCATAGAGACGACCACGGCTTGAGAAGACAACCAAGGCAACCTCAGCATCACAGAGTACAGATAATTCATAGGCCTTCTTGAGCAAACCGTTGCGACGCTTGCAGAAGGTGACCTGACGATTTGTGGTGTTTTCGATCCGCTTGATCTCGATCTTTCCCCTACTGATTTTCCTCTGGTGAGAAATTTCCCTTGAGTGATCACTCTGCAGTGCCATTTCTCAGCTGAAACAAGGGGGAAAACATCATTACCTAGCTAATTCTTGAACAAAATCAACCTTATACAACTTGGGTTTTTGAACAAAAATTCTAAGCAAAAGAAAACTTTAAAAACCAAGAATTCGGAGACTTTATCCCTAAAACAGAATTCCATGTATGTGGGTTTTATTTTCAATGATTTATTTGAGGTAAAAGAAAATGTTTTTTTTTCTTTGTACAAAATAAGGATGTGAAATGAAGGAATTGATTGATGACAATACAGGTGAAGCAAAGAAAACTGATTTTTAACATATTTTTAGCTTCACAAACCTTGTAAGGAAATTAGGACAGAAATTAAGGTTTTTGGTTTGAATTTTCTCAACCTTACTACAAGTTCTGCAAGGGAAGATGCAGAAAATGGAAGGGAACTGCACTAGGAGGTGTGTATTTATAAAGTAAAAAATGGCTTCTATTATATGATAACACAAACTTAATTTTTTGTCGTTTTATTATTTTCGGGTGATTTTTATTGAAGTAACAGGATAAGGGATAAATTTTAGGAAATCACTCGTAATATTCAGCCTCTCTGACCATTCATTTTCATTTCTCATTTACTTTTTCATTTCACTTTTCTTGTTTCTTTTGAGTTTCTTCCACTTCATCTGAATTATGAGTAATGAAAAATCTTGATGGGTGGGGGTGATGGGAGTTGCAGTTAGGGTGGCAATGGGCTCGTGTTCACAAACTGTGCTCGGTTCATGCTTTGACTCGTGGCCTCATGGGTCAATCCCGAACCATAGCCACGAGCACATGATCCGGGGCATGTTTAATTAATAAAAAGAATTAAATTCCTCATTCTTTTTTTGGGGCTCCGATCTGACACTTTAGATTATCAATTTAGACCCAACTTACGAAAATAATCAATTAAAAACAGCCGTCACTTTTTAATTCTTTTTAGATGATTAAATCAAACAAGTCAATTTATCATATGTTTGAATACAGTTTATAAATCGTGCAAAGTAAATAATATCAATATGATCACAGAGAAAACCCTTCGCAAAAGATTAAAAAATATGGACAATTTGCATGTCAACAATCCACTATTAACGATTAGACTTGTAGCATAATCCATAACTAACCCTTGGTCTCCTCTGACCTTCTTCTATAATCCCCTTGGTCCTCTTGGACTGTTGCTCCTCATACCAGCTCCCAACCTTGGTATCATTTATCTCCTATAGACCTCCAAGAACGAACTTCATTATTGAGTGCCGGAACTTCAAGCTCTTCTCAAAGCTTTTGTAACTCTAAAAGCTAATTGACGAAGGTAGGTTTAGGCGTTTGATCAACAATCTTATATGGTGGTTGAATCTTGGAATCAATGAAAGTTTTTTGGATCTTCATGGGAATGATCTCTATAGAAAAATATGAGTCAACACACTTTTAGACATTCATAGAGTATGATATATATATATTAGAAATGTTTAGGATGAAAAGGGGTTTAAAATCAAGTTTTTGAAGGAAAACATGATTATTGGACGTCAACCGCCACTCAAGTGTTGAGCTAACACTAGGCGATTGGCACATCTACTGCTTGAGCGCCAATCTAGCGCTAGGCGGGCGACACGGGTTATGCTTTTGCCACTCGTGCACCAACTGGGCAGCAGGCTAGCGGAAAAGCATCCTTCTCAATATCAACTTCTTCAAATTTGAATCTTGAGCTTCTTCTTGAATTTCTTTGACTTCTTTTTGGATTATATCAACCCCAAACTATTTTTACAATAACTTGGACTTTACTAAACATATTTTGACTTTGTCGATTAATTGCAACAATTGAACTAAACTATAATTTTGACTTAAAAATTTGCCAATTACAAATTTAAATTTAACAATATCTCCCTTTGACATTCCATGACAAACTAATTTATTTCAAAATAAAAAATCCAATACAATCTACCCAAAGACACTTCCAAAGTTCACTTTACCTTGTTTCCTACAACATATAAAAACCACATTACCACGTGAAAAGCAAGATGAAACTAACAATTAACAAAATCATATAAAAGTTATATAAAACAATATAATAAAACATGTGTAATACCAAAGCATGCAATATAATGTGAATTGATAACTGTATAAAAATACAGTTATTTAGACTGAAAAATATAGACATTTAATAGTTCTTTAAAATAATTATAATCTAATTTATTGTATATTTCATTTATTAGGCAAAACTCAATAGCTGAAAGTTGAATTGAAAGAAATAAGTGAAAATGGCAAAAAATTGCGAAGTACAAAGTTGAGGACCAAATTGCAAATATCCAATGGTTGAATTGGACCATAAGAGATACTTTAAAGATTGATATGAGTCAATTGAATGCAATTAGAAGTTAAAAAGAAATGAAATATCATCATAATATTACCATAAATTGACTTCCAATCACATGATATACCTTCTAAATTTTTAGTCAAAGATTGCGACCAATTTTTGGCTTAGTAAATATCCGAATTGGGAAATATCTATCTCCAAAAAAACTGTATCCCTTTTAGTTATCTTTTCAACGCATTTTGAATCGACTCAATCGGATATCAGAAGATAAAGTTATGATCAAAATACTGAATGTTGTGCAGAGACACAAAATCCGCGCACGAATATAACTTTCCCTATTCGATTTGAACTCTTTTGGAAACCAATTTGAACGTAATTTTTAACCAATTTTTGATTCATACAAATACCTAATAGTAGAATACATGAAGGTGGCTCTCATATACATCTTTTATACTCCAATATTCATCAATTGTTATGATCAAAGGAGGAAAATTCATAGTTTTTGTGAGAGAATTGAAAGGGACTTGCAAGAATTCAATTAAGAAATATTCAAACTTGGTTTTTGGGCAAAGAAGAGACTGCACAAGTGGAAATTTATCAAGAACTATTGAAGAGATTCAAGATCTCAAGATTTGTCTTCATCTTCTCAATTTATCAAAAATTCGGGTTATGTCTTGCCATTTAAATATGATTTCTTGTAATTTCAATAAATTAGGCTTGTTTTATACATTGTTAGGATGAGATAAACCCTTGTTGTGATATTTTTAGTTTTTAATTAATTATTTTAACTTCAATTTGGTTTGATTTGTGGATGTTTATTATTGTTTTTATCATTCTTTCAATTGTTTGATCACCAATTGAATTGTTAGTAGATTTTATTGTTATCGAGAGAGACAATTGGATTTAAGCACAATATAATAAATATTGTAAGGTTCGATAGATGATAGAAATATACCTCTCTGCTTTATATGGTTTCAATAGGTGTTTTAGCACTTGTTAATACATTTATCATGTTTGCATCTTTCATTAAGAGATAGGAGGATCATACGAGGGGAATACATTTGATCACTATCGAAAAAGGCTTTCAATTAAATTAGAAACATTGATCAACATGAATAATTTCAAATTGTCAATTTAATTATTACACTAAAAATGGAATAACAGGGGAAATTCAACATCTTAGCAATACTTTCACATATTTGAAAAGACCCATTAAACCGCTTTCTAGTTTAATTAATAATTTAGATATTAGTGTAGAAAAATCACAAAACTTATTTGTTATTCGATTAAAGTTGCAATTAATTTTAACTTGATCAAATACATAGTCATCGTGGGTTCGACACTCTACACACTACTTTACTACTTGTTCACGATCCCGTTCCCTAAACGATCATGAATTACAAACTTAAAAATAACCATAGAATTTTAATGTCAATATTGACAAAACACAACACGTATTAATAATAAAATTACATTGAAACTCCCCTAAGTTAAATATCAGATTTTTAAAATACTCTTCCTAACTCATATATACTCAATTCCCTGAAATCACTCCCTTTTTGTCACGAATAACAAAGGAAAAACAAGAAATAATCATGAAAATACAGAAAGAAATGAGTTAAAAAAATGCACATATATAATTATGCAAAAATTATTTGTTTACTAAAAACTGTCATTTGGAGACAAACTTTTTTTATATTTTCATAGATATTTTGTTTTAAATATATCATCATGAACAGTTATTTGTCTAATACAAGTTTAATGCATAAATAATAAATTTTTCCCACGCAACTTATTTTAAATTTAAATGGAATAAATTGTACAAGCTATATATGTAGTAAGTCTCAAAATCTTAAATCAATAAGAAAGGACATGCAAAAAATCATTGGTGAACGAATGTTTTCCTCAAAGCATGAAGTCAAACACAATACTACTAATGTGTGTGTTTGTAATGAGTTTTGGCCCTATAACTCCAAATCAAATGACCATTAATTACTCGAGTCAAATAGACTCCGAAAAAACTATAAGATGTATTTCACTTTTTCATATATTTCAAATTTTGAATGCACATTGTAAATTCTAATCTCATCACTTTCTCACAATCTTAGCATCTGGAATTCGTTCGCCTAAAAAATTATAAGTTGACTATATCATTCAGTTTAACAAAAAAGTCATCAAAAGACTCATCTTTCGTCCTAATTTCCTCAAATCTAAGCAGTCAATATCTACAATTTTGAGTTCATAATGGTCTTAGTTCCCTCATGTGTGATCTCTAGAATATTTCACCAATCTTCTTTTGTAGTCTTACACATCGATACACGCCTAAACTCTTCAAGTAACATGGCCATAAACAAAGCATGAATGGCTTTACTATTTCAATTACATTCATCTAAATTAGTCCCAGACCAATTAGCAATAGCATTAGAGATAACTACACCTTCAATGGCGGTAATAGGGACAGTCCAACCATTTTGAACACTCAACCAAACCTACGTATCCATAGACTTAAGGAAAGTTCTCATTCTTATCTTTCAGTATGCATAATTATTTCTATCAAAATAAGGAGAAACAGACAATGATTGGCTAATCTAGTCAATTGGGGTTAAGGGTCGCAAAATAAGGCAATGAAGGTCAATGATCGAAAAATAAGACTCTGATACTACTAGAAATTTTAGATTATCAATTTATTTAGACCTAAAGTATAGAAATAATCAATTAAAAGCAACAAATCACTTTTAATTACTTCTAAATGATCAGATCAAACAAGTCAATTTATCTTATATTTGAATACCACAGTTTATAAATTGCACAAAGTAAATAATATCAATATGATCACAGAGAAAACCCTTTGGAAAGGATAAAAAAACTCCGAGTACTTTGCCAATCAACAATCCATTATAAATTATAAGACTTATAGTATGGTCCAGACCCGACTAATCCTTAGTCCTCTCTGACCTTCTTCCTGTGATCACTTTGGACCTTCTTAGACTACGTGTTTCTCACATGAGCTCTTGAATCTTGGCATTGTTTATCTCTTATGGACCTCCAAGAACAAACCTCGTTCTTCAACTTCAAAACTCTAAGAGTCTTTTTCAAAAATTTCAGTAACTCTAAAGGCTAATAAGTGAAGGTAAGTTTAG